ATCAGGGGAGAAGACACACCCTTGTCTTATGCCCTTTTCTAATTTTGTGTAGCTACTCAATTCATTTCCTATCTGTATGAAGTCGGTTTGCACCCAGTACAAGTTCTGGATTATTTTAAGATCCTTTCCAGATAGATCGAGTTTTCCTTTCCACGCATCCTTGGGAAAGACAGAGAAGTGGCCATCTTCTGTGTCTGAAAATGTTCAACAGTCTCTTTCTGATAGTAAATTCAAGTTTCTTTATATAGGAACACAATTTCTATTTTATCCGTATGCAGGCGGTATTCTCCCAGTATAATTTCTGGATTATTCGAACATCTTTTGCATCTATGCGGACGACACTACTATTTAACTCCTGCCTTAAGAACAAATCTAGTGTCGCCGACAAAACTAACCTGGCCGTTTGTCTTGAAAAGGACCTCCAATCGGTTGTGGACTGGGGCAGGAATTGGCTGGTTAACTTAATGCCTTTAAAACAAAACTACTCTCTATTACTCACCAGAGAGAACCATCCCTGCCTCCCATTAGAATGTCTGATGCTCAACTCCACAAGAGCACCTCTTTGCAACTACTTGGTCTCACATTGTCCGCTGACCTGAGATGGAATGAATACATTGAGTCAATAGCTTTGTCCACCGCTAGGAAAGTTGGCCCCCTGTGCTGCGCCAGGAAATTTATCTCGCCGGAGTCGATCCTTCAAATTTACAAATCAACCATTCGCCCTTGCATGGAGTATATGGTCTGGAGCCCCTTCTATTTGTCTCAAGGTCCTTGATAAAATCCAAAGACGGATATGCAATGTAATTGGCCCTGATCTGGCATCTCGACTGCAGTCGCGCTCTCACAAACGTGCCGTTGCCTGAGGTTGAATAAATCAAGGGAGAAGACACACCCTTGTCTTACGCCCCTTTCTAATTTTGTGAAGATACTCAATTCATTTCCTATTTGTATGCAGGCGGTTTGCTCCCAGTACATCTTTTCCAAATAGGACAAATTTTACTAGCAGTTCAAATAGATCCTTTATCTCATGCCTCTTTTTATTTTGGTATAGCTACTGAATTCATTTTCCATCCATATGCAGCCAGTTTGGTTAGAGAATAAGTTCTGGAGTATTCTAACATCATTTTCAAATAGATCTAGTTTCCCTAGAAGCCTAATGTTTCTTGTGGTGAACATTGTTAAATGCTTTTGGGCAATCTATAAAACGCAAGTTCACGCCCTTCTGCATTACACGTTGTTTATGGGATAGATTCAAATGAAGGAAAATACTGAAGATGGTATTGTATTTATAATGAATCACAAACTTGGAGGAAAACAAATAACGGGATTATTCACAAAAATGGCGGTACCAGAAACTACCATCTACAAAACAAGATTCCAACTAAGAGAGTTCTCTTTTCCTTTTTTTTTTTCTTTGCCAGGGCGATAACTCTATTTAACTAAAATAGTGATTTACCATTCTTAATGCACACAACAGATAGTTTAGAAAAACTGACTTCAGCATAAAAGAAAGGCCACGAACAAATCATCCTGTTGAGTTGAAGGATGATTTGCTTTTTAAAAGCTGTTCGCCATACAGAAGATGGTTTAGAAAAGGTAACTTCGGCATAAAAAAAATGCAAACAAAAAGTAAAATTATTCTTAACATCAGGAAGAGACAGTTTGAAATTTCTAGGGCACAAACAATGAGGAAAGAGGGTTTGGAAGATCTGATACTCACAAGACAAATTGAAGGCAAGAGGAACAGAAGAAAACAATGCATAACATACTTAAAGAGCTTACAGATGGCAGAACAAGGATTAGGAGAAATAACAAAAATACAAAATTTATTAAGAGCTACAATGGACAGGACATCGTGGAGAGCTATGAATTCCTACATCCTGAGGACATACGGTACACAAAGAAGAAGATCTATGAGTTTAAAAATGGCAACAATACTATAAAATCAACCAGAAGTATTTATGGTGTTTATGTGATAAGTTTTATTACGGTCAACACAAACATAATAAAATACATAAATGGGAGATAACTCCAAACTCAGCATGAGTTACGTCCCTTAGAGGATTTTCTAATCTCTAAGCATTGGTTCCCAAATGGTGCAGTGAGCCTCATAGGTATGTCAGAAGAGGATAGCAGGTGAGGCAGAATGATTGAAAGACAATCAAAGATTTAGAAACAGTTTGAAAAAAAAATTCATATGCCATAAATAAATATGATTTCCAAATTTAAAATGTTATTATGAATTACTTGTAATTGCATGAATGAGTCCCAGTATAAATAGTCATAAATAATTATTGACTGATTTTATCACTGTGGTATTTTTTGCATTATATCAAGTATTAAGAATAACTGGGGTCCATAAATTGGGGGAGAGAGTTAACAATGATAATGTCCTGATTACAAATTTACAGTTATTTCCCTTTTCACCCTCTCCCTTTCTTTTAATTTTAAATTTACTTTTTATTATATAAAATTTGGTGAGGCACAAACAAATTTTCATTCTCAAAATGCAACTCAAAGAAAAAAGTTTAGGAACCACTGCATTAGAGAAGTAACCTCGTTTTTGTTTTCTCTCTTCCATGAACCTTGCAAATTGAACTACCACACAGTCACACATGTAATTTCAATCCAATTAAGTCGACAGACATTTGTATATATTCTTAATAAATTTCCTTCTCTTATGTGGAGTACCCCAATGTTGTTATCATTTCAATTTTTACATTTTTTTAAATGTTACATTTACAATCATATCAATCACATACACTTCAGAAGCAGTGTTATTTTTGACCAAGAGGGGCCATTTTCACATAGCACATGTGTGGCACTTTTTTGTATGACAACTTTGTCATTAGAATTAGTTCAGCATCCCAAAACAGATACACTACAAGGTCATAACAAGTTTAAAGGTATGAAATTGCTGAAGGTGGCTTAAAACATTTTGAAAAAAAAAGTGACTTCAGTTTAAGAGATGCGCCATGGAGTATGTATTGAACTGTATTTGGATAGGTGTAACATAAGTTGTCTGGATAGATATGTAGTATTGTGACTGATGTAATTATTAGAAATATCATAAAGAAATATACTACCCCAGCTGACTCAAACAAAAAAATTAAATTATCTATTACAAGATATTCCTAGTTAATATTATTGAGAAAGATACTGAACAGACAGACAAAAACAATAGCAGAAATATCACCTAAAGAAAAGCCAAATTCACGTCAACTATAAACAAGATATATCTTCACCTAGAAATATCATAAAGAAATACACTACCCCAGCTGAACTAAACAAAAAAAAAATCGAATTATCTATTTAAAAAAATTGAAAACTGCTAACCTTATCTTCAAAAATAACAACACACCTGCGAAATCAAAAACTACAAAAAATGAACGTTATTCATGAGCTCAAATGCCCCTTAAGGAACTGTGTTCCTGATCAAACTGAACTTATAAATAATTACATCAGTCACACTATTACATGCCTGTCCAGATGACTTACGTTACATATATTCAACCACAACTCCATTAGAATTCAGTTAAACACACAAAAAAACTACCAGACTCCATCCAAAACATAGAAGTAGAAAATACAAGCATAATAACCTAATCCATGTCTAAAAAAAAAAAAAGAAAGATTTAAAATAATGTAAGCCTTAATAATAAAAAAGAAAAAGCCAACATTCAGTAATATTAACTATAGACACAGCCACAATGTGCTGTGTACAGAAAATAAAACATTCCTATAACTCTAAAAACATACACACAACCTACACACCCAGTTAAAAAGCAAAAATAAAATCATCCTTGATAATGGTTAAAAGTAGAGCCAAAAGCACTCGGAATTATAGAACATTTGAACAGATTCTACACACACTGTATCCAGAAAAGAAAACACTTGTGCGAACACAAGAAAAATTAAATAAAAAGCTTAATCATAGTAGCTCATCTGTCATCTTTAATGAAACTGTGTGTGTGTATATATATATATATATATAAAATTTTATTAAACACAGCTGACAAGGTACTGCAGTTACTTTCCTTGCTGGCTTCCATTTCATGTAATTTATTAATTGTACATAAACTCAATGATTACCTGGGATTACATAGCAAAAACTGACCTTTCACTGTAAAAGGCAATAAATATATTTTTTGTCTTTTAGAAAAATTTGGTAATCTAAAACATATAGAAAACTAATTTGCTAAACAAAATTGAGTCAATGTTCACATGCAGACATAGAAACAAATACCTTCCCAAGCACATTGACCCAGATTAATATAGTTATTTCACATTCAGACCCCACATATAGTATTAGTGATATTACAATTACCAATTATTATTATTATTTCTATTACCTATTATTATTAAAATTACAAATTATTATTATTATTTCTATTACCTATTATTATTAAAATTACAATTACCAATTATTATTATGTTTTTAATATTATTACTATTATTATTATTTTATCAATGCTTACCTATTGTTGTTTTTATTATCGATATCACCTTTTAAGTGTTTACCCCAGGATAAAAAAAAGAGTTACCCCACCTTGAAACATAGTACCTACCTTTGAAAATTATAAATTGAAATTGTAGTTCTTATTTTATTAAATATAAGAGTAAGTTTGAACCTAAATTTAAATTTAGATTATCATACAATATTTAATAATAGTAATAACTGATCCAACTAACATGGTGATACCCAGAAATTCTAACCAGATAACGGCCAGTTCATTTATACCTGATGATCACACAGTGCAAGAAACTCTGAGTTGTACTGTCAGCATGGTGTATTATGTATATTTATTAAATTTTATATATATATATATTTGTGTGCATGGGTGTATATCTATACTTATCTATATCTATATTTTATGTAGTTTAAGTTAACTTAAATTTAACTTAACTTTAAGTTAACTCTTTTAATTAAGAATATCATAGAAATTAATTGCCCCAAATTCTTATCTAATTTAGTTGCTTAAATTCAAATAAATACTTACCAATCATAATTTTTAGTTGTTACATTTTCAGTATGATAAGAAACTGGATTGCTTTGATCACATTCTGAAATTGAAAATAAAAAAATTACAATAAATATTAAAAACAGTGAAGCAAAGCAAGAAAAAGGAGAAGGCATCGAATTAATTTGATCATTTATAGCATGTGATGTCAAGACACCGGTTCGAATCTCATCATGGTTGATTTATCAAGAAGCTGACTTCTTTATAGTATCAGTTTTTTTTTGGGGGGGGGAGATGACTCCAGCATGTGTGGTACCATTGGGTTGTGCCTAAAAATCATACCACTTGTGAGCAAAATTGGGTAGATAAAATATTTTGATGGTTTGGCTGGTATGAAATCACAAGTCACCACGACCATGGTTTGAGCATAGTGCCAGGTTACAGTCTTTCCCAGAAACTGTAACCAAGGTTTAGTCAGCGCTGTTGTAATATAAACCACAGGATGGAACTGTGGGTTTTGAACAAACTGACATCTGCCACAGAGATTAGCTAGCCATCCTAGCAGATCGGTGCAATGGGAAACGAGCCATCAGCCTTACTGCTTAATTTACTAAAACTGTAGGTCAAAATATATTGTTCTATAGAAATAACAATATCTGTAGTCCAGAGATTTTTTTCTTCTTTACAGTAAGGTTCAACCTGTACAAGGTCTGGGGGGTCACTCTAGGTAGAGTGTTACATTAAGAGGATTTTTATATGAATAGGAGAGGAAGATAATGGTTAATTCTAGACTTGAACAGGTTTAAGATTGTAGTGATCAGGGAAACATCATGTTGGGAGTCTGTTCCACAGAGCAGTGGTTCATGGGAAGAAGCTGTTTGAGTGGAACTTACTTCTCACCCATGGAATATGGAGCGAGTGGTTTGCTACAACCTAAGTAGTATGGCAGGTCCTTACTATAAAGATTAGACCTGGCAGAACCAAGGAATGTAGTTCAACCGAGCACTTTCCATGGGAGTAGCAATAGAGTAATGAGAGGCTTGCCACATCCCATCTGTGAGGGAGAGGTTGGAGATTTATACAACATTATTCTAACATGTATTCCCTTTTTACCTGTAGTGATCGTTATATTTCAAATAGTGATCAGTATAGCCTTTCTGATGAGATTTTTTGATTGATTCATTTTTTTTACAGTTTATCAAACTGTTGCAGGCTATTTAAAGCCAGAAAATATTTTTAGATTGTAAGAATTTTATTTTTTTGATGGTTTATTGATACAAGTCATACTAATTAACCCGTTGATCATAAGTGAATATAAATGAAACCAACTTAAATTTGAACTCAGCTCTCTCTGTGGATTTAATCCGATATAACTTCACCAGGCAAATAGATTTGATATCTCCCCAGTAGAAAAAGCATAAGTTTATATAGAACTCAATGGGCAGAACCCATTTCAACTGCAGGTGGAACAGGTCAACTTATTAACCTTTAGCCCACTGCATTATTAATATTACTTCCCTTCCTAGTGCATTCTTTTCTCAAGGCTTCTCAATTGCAGTATCCTTAATATTAATTTTGCTCAAAGCTGTTTTCTGTTGCCATAGCAGGATATGACAGCACAACTAGGAAATTCAAACACCCTATTTTCTCAAATATGTCATGAAGGTTAAACACTGCTTTACTTGTCTTTTGATGTGTCTTGTGAGTGTTAAATTCGTCAAACCTTTTTTTCTCATTATGTCCCCAAAATTTCAAGTACCCCCTTTCTGATTATTAACAATTACTTTGTAGTTCCTCTTGATCTAATCTGATAACACATCATCAGGTAAGTAGATTTGATATCTCCCTAGTGGAAAAAGCATAAGTTTATATAGAACTCAATGGGCAGAACCCATTTCAACTGCATGTGGAACAGGTCAACTTATTAACCTTTAACACTCTGTATTATTAATATTACTTCCTTTTCTACTGCATTCTTTTTTTCAATTGCACTATCTTTATTATCAATTTTTCTCTAAGTTGTTTTCTTTTGCCATACAACACAACTATAGGTATGTAATATAGATAGACGTCTATGCAGTTCCAGAAGTTGGTGTTTATACTGACAATGGTGGATATTCTGGGCAATGGTCCTGGCACCTCTCGCAGTTAATGCTAACTGATGATCACTTTGCGTAATTCCAGTGGAAAAACCATAAGTTTATACAGATCTCAATGGGCAGAACCCATTTCAATTGCAGGTGGAACAGGTCAACTTATTAAAGCACAAGTTCACATTCACTGAAAGGCTATCAGTTCAGTCTATATTTCTGAGATGAGGTATTATGTCCACTATTTACATTATTCAGACTATAATCCTCATCTTTGTCGCTATATTTATTACAACGTTTCAGCCTTTGTATGCTCCAGCCTTCTTCAGATGGTTTTATCCACCGTGCCAAGTATCCTTGAGACACATGGCACAGTGGATAAAGGCATTAGTTTTTTTTTGCTTTTTTTTAAGCATTGTGCCCCAAGCAAGGCGTGAAGCCACTAGGATGCAGGGGGTTGCGGAAGATTTGGAGCGAGAGCAGATAAGAGTGATAGGAAGAAAGGAAGAGGAGAAGGATAGTGGGTAGATCAAGGTAATTGGAGATGTCGATTGACATTACATTTGAATAGTTGGAGATTATAGCTTTCAGGAAACAGTAATTGGGAAGGGTTGTTCCACTGGCGAGAGGTGCGAGGTATGAAGCTATTGGAGTAGAAGAGACGGCTACATTTGAAGGTTTCTATGGTGTAAGCGTGAGAGCGGGATGCCAGCCTCGTAGGGCGCTTGAATTCATGGAGTCTGGGAACCAGAGAGAGCAGCTCATCAGAGCAGTTACCATGGAAGTATTTGTAGAAAAGACAGAGAGAGGCGATGGCACATCTGTGAGAGAATGACTGCAAACAAGACGCTAGATCAGGGCCAATTAGATTACATATCCTTCTCTGGATCTTGTCAAGAACTCCGAGGTAAGCAGAAGGTGCTCCAGCCCATATATGGCAGCAATACTCCATGCAAGGGCGAATGGTTGTTTTGTATATTTGAAGTATCGATTCAGGGGAGAAAAATTTCCTGACGCGGCACAGAGAGCCAACTTTCCTCACGGTGGAAGAAGTTAGATCCAGTGACAGGACCCAAAGAGTGTGAGTTCAATACCTGGTTAAGGTGGTGGAGAACTTGGAGAGGGGAATTAACAGGAGATAACTGATAACTGACATCCATCAAACATGGCATATGGAACTAGAACAGTCTACCCCAGTGAGTGAAATAAAGGGTTCAGTTCGATATTACAACCACCTGAAGAAGGCCGAAGTGTAGAACGGCCGAAATGTTGTAATAAATATGGCAACAAAGATGAGGACAATGGATATCAGTTCAATATTTGTTTGTTTTTTGGGTTTTTTTAACCCATTACAATGCAAATTTTAGATTTTAAATGTTAGGCTAAAAATAACTCCTGATAACATTATGGGAACATTCTAGAATATTCTACTTAAATAATGCAGAGCATTAAAGCAATTTAAATGTTTTAAAGTCTTAAATTTGCATTGTGCAAATACTTTTTCACCCATTAAAATGGATAAATGGGATTTATTTCTATTAAATCAAAGTTTTCTATTTTCTATGCATATTTATTTATTATGCATCTGTGTACAGTTAATTATATGAAAAGTATGTTTATTCATTAGTTGGAAATACAATAAATTAAAAATTTGTATGTGTATGAATATTTATTTCCACCTACTGTGTGTAGGTATATATATATATATATATATATATATATATGATGGAATCATATTTGAAGGAATCATAATTTGAAGTTTTTAGTTTCTGTTTTTGAAACATGGTAATTCCTAATAAAACATGGTAATTTAATAATTTAAAAATATGGTTCCATCGTTACATAGGAATTACCATGTTTCAAAAACAAAAACTAAAAACTTCAAATTCAATTATAGAATTAAATTAAAGTCCCTAGTTCTGTTTCATTTTCAAGCGAATTTTGGAATAACTTATTTTGAAATTTATTGAGTTTTATAAGCACATACATTCATAATATTAGTTTCTAAGGATACGGGGAAATTCACTCATTTCAACAAGAGGTGGTAGGGCATTCATTTTCACTGACAACTATTGTATCAAAATATGAGTTACTTTTGAAAAGAGGTTAAGGTAGGTAGGGGTGTCTTTTTCAATGAACGATGATATCTGTTCAATGCATGTTTATGCTCTGGTGATTTGCACTGAGCACTGTTTTGTAAAAATAAAAATAATTAATAAAAACACCAGAATTTATATTTTACTGTTCTTTCTCTTTATTATAATATATATATATATATATATATATAATATAATATTGTCTAAAGTTTTAATGCACATGATACATGACTGACCAATGAGAATTGAACCAAACAGAATTGAAAATACCAAAGTTTTGTCTTTTTATGTTTTCTCTCTATCTCTGACAAAGCTTTAATAAAAGAAAAACATGTTAGATTGATAAACATTTCCTATTTGTTCTTTATCTTATATTCCTGTCAGATTCAATCCATATTTGATATGCATTTGATCCTTATATATATATATATATATATATATATATATATATATATATATATATATATATATATATATATATATATATATATATACACATTTTTTAATATAAGTATTAGGAAATGGACAAAGTCTGACAATTATTTCATAATGTGTGACGTCATTCGTTTACATTTTGATATGCCATAAGCAGATATGAATGTACCTGTGAGAATCATCGACCTTGCTAACCGAATGATCCTCTGTGGCCCAATCAGTTGAGGCACATCAGGCTATATGACGGTTCCGTATAGGATACAGGTTCAATTTCTGTCGGAGGCTGAATATTTTCTATGAAAATTTCTCAGACATTTAGGCCGGTAAATGTTGTTTAATATTGTTTATTAAAAAACAGCATTTACTTAAATATTTGTATCGATAAAAAGAAGGTATAAACATAAAAATGTTTTTATATACACAAACCATATTTATTCCTTTATAATGTAACTTCTGTTCTTATATGTTAAAAGCATTAATAT